AGGTTTACAGAGCCTGTGTCCTGAGCACTCTCCTTTATGGCAGTAAGTCTTGGACACTCCGCGCCCGTCAGGAAAGACAGCTGAATGCCTACCACATGCGCTGCGTTCGACACATCTTGGACATCACCTGGCAGGACAAGGTGACAAACAACGTCTTGGGGAGAGCAAGAATCACCAGCATGTACACAATGCTGAAACAGAGACGAATGCCCTGGCTCAGGCATGTTGTGAGAATGGGCAGCGGCAGGATCATCAAGGATCTCCTGTACAGAGAGCTGATGCAGGGAAAGCGTCCAACAGGCAAGCCCCAGCTACGGTACAAAGACGTATGCAAGAGGGACCTGAAAGCCATGGACGTCGATCTTGGTATGTGGGAGGCACTGGCTGCAGACCGTTCAGCCTGGGGGCAGTCTGTTCAAAGAGGTCTCTCCAAGTGCGAGGAGTCACTTGCCAAGGAATCGGAGGCAAAGAGACAGAGAAGGAAGGCCGGTAGCCACGAAGACAGACCAGAATCGGACTTCGTTTGTGCTCGGTGTGGGATGGACTGCCACTTTCGGATTGATCTCATCAGTCACATCAGACGCTGTACCAGGATTGACAACTAGGGTGTAACTCCATAGTCTCCTGAGACTGAAGGATGCCTACTACTACTACAGATGAGTATGTCCTTGATATAGAGGCTGACCCCACCCTGTAGCCTGTGTTTCCTGTCACATCTGAGAAGACTGTACTCTGAAATCCATATTTCACCATCATGGTAGTCCTTGGTGTGAGTTTCCGTTAGGGCTGCAAACACTGCATTTGCCTCATGTAAGAAGCCATCTATGAAGTGCACTTTGTTACATTTGCGTGTTTTTATACCCTGAATATTGGCAAATAAAAATGATGTTATGTTTGTGGAAGTGCTGGATGCTTTACTTGGTGTTAATATCTGAGGCTCTGGTAAGGAGGCCACTGTATTTGCGTCCTCTCTAGCATTTGACCGAGTTGATGGTAGAGTCTGGACATTTTTAGCCATTTTTCTCCTCCTCCTTTTCCAAAAAATCATCCTGGTAAATATTGTTGTGGCTGCTTTCATCGAGATGGTTTGTCTGTCTTATTCGCTTGGTACCATTTATATGAAAAGCTGGACATTGTGTGTTGAAACATTCATTCTTATTTAAAGAGTTCTTGCACAGTTCTGGGTGAAAGAGATCACAGCTTTGATACATTTACCTGTACTAAGAAGGGTCCTGCACTTTCTGGGATGATCGTATTTACATAGTCCATTTGTTCTCCCCGATATCCCATGCTTATAGATACCCCATTTATAATATCGGCAGATTTTGGGTCCTTGTTTTGTTTATCTCAAAATCCCTGATGCCAATATCGCGCCCGGTTCAGGTGCCGACACCGCGCCGACCCCAACGTTATGTCCGGCGCCATCATACCAACCTTGGAAGGACTCAGAAGCGCGGACAAAACCAAAGTCGAAGCGACTAATGCCCCCCAAGTCCAGGTCCCTATAATCCATCCGGGTAAGCAACCAACTTAGTGCACAGCGGCAACCGATTCCGTACATGCAATGCTAAAGCCGCCTGTACAGGAACATCAATATCAGTAGAATGGGTAAACTGGAGCACAAGCAAGGAACAAAACTCGCAGGACTCCAGGTCAAAGGTGTCATCGACCCAGCAGGCGGCATGACGGAGGCAAAACAGGTGAAAAGTTTCACCTTGAGGCAAGGAAACAGAGCAACCATCAACCGTGCACTCGGCGGGTTCGAACCCAGAGGACGCGTCTATAGGTTCAAAGAGCCACAATGGGGATTTCCATGGCCCTTAGGCTGACTGCTAAGGAAATCCCAGGCAAAATACTGCTAACCGGCTGGCCCAAACTACCACGAGAAACTGCAAAGAACTGAACCGTTGTGACGTGTACAAGCACGGGGGGCCTAGCGGAAGACCACCAATATACCAGGTGGTGGCTCAGAACCAAGGGGCAAACCCCCACCAGGCACAAACAAAAAGAAAAAGAAGACTCCACAAAAGTACAACGTCTCCAGGAGGAACAGAATCGGCCGCAGTATACAATGGAAGACAAGCTGCACGGTACCTTGCGCCCCTACCAGCAATGACACCATTTTCAACCCAAGGTCAAACAAAAGAAAAGAAAACCCCATCTGACCCTAAGGGCAGGCAATTGCTAAACAACAAAAGAACCCTACAGGAGTGGTTCCTTAACGCCCTGTGGATGATAAGTTACCCCTGGCCTGCAGACTGCAGTAAAACACCACAAGGCACATGACAGCACAGAATAAAAGGCCAAAGCTGATGACAGCCACAGTCAGATATCAGCCGACCTGCACAGATGAGCGACACAACGGTGAGGTGTGACGTTTCCTTGTTTGCTGGTTATAGAATTGGGGAGTTCTTTTCTCTATTCTAGGGGTATCAATAATATTTTTTACCATTTTGTGATGCCTACCTTTCTGGGTGCCAGCCCCGGTCGATGGCAGATATGTAATACTGTACTTCAAAATACATCGGGGGTTTCCATAGGCCATTACTTCTCTAGCCTCTCTGAGGGGGCCCAGGTTCTGGCTCGTGGTCCATGGTAGGCAAAAGAACTCCAATCGACTGATGCCATGGTCTAATACATACATATCGGCTCTGGGGAGCCGTAAGGGCTCTCCACAGAAATTATAATACTGTATTATATTATATATATATATATATATATATATATATATATATATATATATATATATATATATATATATATATATATATATATATATATAGATAGTACCTAGTAGCCAGAACGCACTTCTCAGCCTACTATTCAAGGCCCGATTTGCCTAATAAGCCAAGTTTTCATGAATTATATGTTTTTTTTTTCGTCTACCTTTCATTATACCTAACCTAACCTAACCTAGCTTTTTTTGGCTACCTAACCTAACCTTACCTATAACCTATATAGGTTAGGTTAGGTTAGGTAGGGTTGGTTAGGTTAGGTGGTCATATATCTACGTTAATTTTAACTCCAATAAAAAAAATATTGACCTCATACATAGAGAAAATATATTGCTTTATCATTTCATAAGAAAAAATATATATAGTATATATATATATATTCAGGAAAACTAGGCTTATTAGGCAAATCGGGCCTTGAATAGTAGGCTGAAAAGTGAGTTCTGGCTACTAGGTACGACATATATATATATATATATATATATATATATATATATATATATATATATATATATATATATATATATATATATATATATATATATATATATATATATGTCGTACCTAGTAGCCAGAACACACTTCTGAGCCTACTATGCAAGGCCCGATTTGCCTAATAAGCCAAGTTTTCCTGAATTAATATATTTTCTCTAATTTTTTTCTTATGAAATGATAAAGCTACCCATTTCATTATGTATGAGGTCAATTTTATTTTATTGTAGTTAAAATTAACGTAGATATATGACCGAACCTAACCAACCCTACCTAACCTAACCTAACCTATCTTTATAGGTTAGGTTGGGTTAGGTAACCGAAAAAGGTAGGTTAGGTTAGGTTAGGTAGGTTAGGTCGTCGAAAAAACATTAATTCATGAAAACTTGCTTATTAGGCAAATTGGGCCTTGCATAGTAGGCTGAGAAGTGCGTTCTGGCTACTAGGTACGACATATATATATATATATATATATATATATATATATATATATATATATATATATATATATATATATATATATATATATATATATATATATATATATATATATATGTTGTACCTAGTAGCCAGAGCATTGTACTTGGCCTACTATGCAAGGCCCAATTTGCCTAATAAGCCAAGTTTTCCTGAATTTATTTATTCCAATTTTTTCTTATTAAATGATAAATCTGTCCATTTCATTATGTAAAAGTTAATTTGTTTAAATTTGAGTTAAAACTAACGTAAATATATGACCGAACCTTACCAACCCTACCTAACCTAACTTATCCTAACCTAAC